CTGGTCTTGCACTCCTGGCCTCAAGTGATCCGGGCCAAAATTGTAACTGCCCAAGAGGTTCACCTTACCCGCTGCCTAGACAGAGCCAATTCATCAAGACAGGGGAATTACAACAGAGGAGTAATTCACCCACAGCTGGCTGTGTGGGGAGGCTGGAGTTTTATCATTACTCAAATCAGTCTCCCAGAGCATTTGGAGAACAAAGTTTTTTGTTGTTTTTTTTTTTTTTTTTTTTTTTTAAGAGATGGAGTTTCACTCTGCCACCAGGTTGGAGTGCAGTGGTTCTATCTCAGCTCACTGAAACCTCTAACTCCCTGGTTCAAGCAATTCTCCTGCCTCAGCCTCCTGAGTAACTGGGATTACAGGCATGAGCCATCACACCCAGCCAATTTTTGTATTTTTAGTAGCGATGGGGTTTCACCATGTTGGCCAGGATGGAATCAATCTCCTGACCTTGTGATCTGCCCACATTGGCCTCACAATGTGCTGGGATTGCAGGTATGTGCCACCTCGCCCGGCAGGGGAACAGAGTTTTTAAGGATAACTTGGTGGGTAGAGAAGGAGCCAGTGAGCCAGGAGTGCTGATTAGACAGGGATGAAATCACAGGGAGTCAAAGCTGTCTTCTTGCACTGAGTCAGTTCCTGGGTGCAGGATATAATACAGACAAGCCGGTTTATCAATCGGGATGTTGCCACCTGATCCACAAGGGTAGGTCTACAAAATATCTCAAGCACTGACTTTAGGAGCAGTCTAGGGAGGGTAAGAATCTTGTAGCCTCCAGCTGCCTGACTCCTAAACCATAATTTTTGTTTTTTTTTTTCTTTGAGATGGAGTTTCGCTCTTGTTACCCAGGCTGGAGTGCAATGGCGCCATCTCAGCTCACCGCAACCTCCGCCTCCTGGGTTCAGGCAATTCTCCTGCCTCAGCCTCCTGAGTAGCTGGGATTACAGGCACCAGCTAAACCATAATTTCTAATCCTGTGGCTAATGTTAGTCTAGCCCCCAGGCAAGAAGGAAGTCAGCTTTGAGAAAGAGCTGTTACTGTCTTTGTTTAAACTATAAACTACAAACAGGCCAGGCTTGGTGGTTCACGCCCATAATCCAAGCACTTTGGGAGGCAGGTGGATTACCTGAGGTCCGGAGTTCAAGACCAGACTGACCAGCATGGTGAAACCCCATCTCTATTAAAAATACAAAAAAATTAGCCAGGCATGGTGGTGGGCACCTCTAATCCCAGCTACTCCAGAGGCTAAGGCAGGAGAATCCCTTGAACCCAGCAGGCAGAGGATGTGGTGAGCCGAGATCAAACCTATATCCCACCACTACACTTCAGCCTGGGCAGAACAGCAAGACTTCATCTCAATAACTAAATAAATAAACAAACTACAAACTAAGTTGCTCCCAAAGTTAGTTTAGCCTACGCCCAGGAATGAACAAAGACAGTTTGGCAGTTAGAAACAAGGTGGAGTCAGTTAAGTTAGATCTCTTTCATTGTCTCAACCATAATTTTGCAAAGGCAGTTTCAACATGGTGAAAACTCATCTCTACTAAAAATACAAAAATTAGCTGGGCATGGTGGTGCACTCCTGTAGTCCCAGCTATGCAGGAGGCTATGGTGGGAGGATCACTTGAGCTCTGGAGACAGAAGTTGCAGTGAACTGAGATTGTACCACTGTACTCCAGCCTGGGTGACAGCAAGACTCTCTATTAAAAAAAGAAAATGGGGCCAAGCACAGTGGCTCACGCCTGTAATCCCAGCACTTTGGGAGGCCGAGGAGGGCAGATCATGAGGTCAAGAGATCGAGACTTTCCAGCCCAACATGGTGAAACTTTATCTCTACTAAAAATACAAAAATTAGCTGGGTGTGGTGGTTCATGCCTATAATCCCAGCTACTCAGGAGTCTGAGGCTGAAGAATCACTTGAACCCTGGAGGCAGAGGTTGCAGTGAGCTGAGATTGTGCCACTGCACTCCAGCCTGGCAACAGAGCAAGACTCCATCTCAAAACAAATATTAATTAATTTTTAAAAAACAGGGCCAGGCACAGTCACGCCTGTAATCCCAGCAGTTTGGGAGGTTGAGGTGGGTGGGTCACGAGGTCAGGAGAGAGACATTTTTGGATTTCAGATTTTTTTTTTTTGAGACAGGGTCTCACTCTGTTACCTAAGCTGGAGTGCAGTAATTTTATATATTTCAAATCATACTGTATATGAAGCTAACACAGTGAAACCCCGTATCTACTAAAAATACAAAAAATTTAGCCAGGTGTAGTGGCATACACCTGTAGTCCCAGCTACTCCAGAGGCTGAAGCAGGAGAATCGCTTGAACCTAGGAGGTGGAGGTTACAATGATCCGAGATCGCGCCACTCTACTCCAACCTGGAAAACAGAGCAAGACTCTGTCTTTAAGAAAAAAAAAAATGCTTGGGACCAGAGGTATTTCTGATTATGGAATTTATTTTTTTGATTTGGGAATATTTGTATACACATAAAGAGATATCTTGGGAATCGGTCCCACGTCTAAATAATTTATGTTTTTTATATACCTTATACACATACTCTGAAGGTAATTTTATATATTTCAAATCATTTTGCATATAAAGCAAAGTTTTGACTGTTTGACTAGGGCCTGTCACATGAGACCAGGCGTGGAATTTTCTACTTGCGGCATCATGCTGATGCTCAAAAAACTTTTGGATTTTGAAACATTTTTGGATTTCAGATTTTTTTTTTTTTTTTTTGAGACAATGTCTCACTCAGTTACCCAAGCTGGAGTACAGTAGCACAATTACAGCTCACTGAAGCCCAATCGGATGGGCTCAAGGGATCCTCTCACCTCAGCCTTTTGACTAGCTAGGACCACAGGTGTGTACCACCACACCTGGCTAATTTTTTTTTTTTTTTTGAGACAGAGTTTCGCTCTTGTTGCCCAGGCTGGAGTGCAATTGTGCGATCTCAGCTCACCGCAACTTCCACCTCCCAGGTTCAGTCGATTCTCCTACCTCAGCCTCCCAAATAGCTGGGATTACAGACATGTGCCACCATGCCTGGCTAATTTTGTATTTTTAGTAGAGACGGGTTTCTCCATGCTGGTCAGGCCGGTCTCAAACTCATTTCAGGTGATCCACCCACTTAGGCCTCCTAAAGTGCTGGGATTACAGGCGTTAGCCACCTCGTCCGGCAACCTGGCTAATTTTTATATATTTTGTAGTGATGTGGTTTCAAGTGCCCAGGCTGGTCTCAAAACTCCTGAGCTCAAGGGATCCACCCACCTTTACCTCCCAAAATGCTGGGATTACAGGCATGAGCCACCACGCCCTGATGAATTTTGGAATTTTTGATTTTTGTATGTGGAAAACAGGTGCCAGGAAACAGGCTCTCAATGAGTGCAGGAGTCAGGTGCTATGCAAAGGAGACACAGAAAGGAAGAGGAGTGTTTCAACAGACTATGACAAGTGGCCAGTAAAGACTTCCAAGAATAAAAATATATTACTTAGGCTTGGTGCAGTGGCTCACCCCTATAATCCCAGCATTCTGGGAGGTCGAGGTGGGTGGATCACCTGAGGTCAGGAGTTTGAGACCAGCCTGGCCAACATGGTAAAACCCCATTTCCACTAAAAATACAAAAAAATTAGCCAGCCATGGTGGTAGACGCCTGTAATTCCAGCTACTCAGGAGGGTGAGGCAGGAGAATCTCTTGAACCCCAGGGGGCAGAGGTTGCAGTGAGCCAAGATCATGTCATTGCACTCCAGACTGGGCAACAAAAGCAAAACTCCATGTCAAAAAAAAAAAAAAAAAAAAAAATATATATATATATATATATATAACTTAGCTTAAGTTTGTGGGTGACAGAGGAAGGAAACAGACTCAAATCAAGCCAAAAAAAGGGGGGTGGGTATGGAGTAACTAATATTAAACAAGAGTGAAGTAAATCTTCAAATGGAGATTTGGGATAAAAATAGTATGGCGATCAGATTCCACTAGATATATTAAGAATCATGTAGCCATTTTACTTTAAAATGTCAATATTAAAACATACCAGAAATCATCTTTTGCAACTATTTAAGCTTATGATGAAAACTTTAAATAGCAACACAAAACTGTGGAGTGGATATGTAGTTTTTCAGAAATGAGAGCAAACATCCAAAGACTACTTTATTATATAAATATGGGAATGGGAGAGTGGCCCAGAAATGAAATAGCAGGAGCTTAAACTTTTGAGAGGTCTTGAGGAACCTAAAAGATTCTAAGGTTCAGCACAAGGGCTGAGGGAGAGTGCCCAAAAAGGGATTCAAGCGGGGCCTTGATGCCAAAGCTTGTACTACACTTCATGTGTCAGAGGAGAGCAAAGGGCGAGTCACAGAGCTGTTTAGGAGGCTGAATGGCCAAGAATAATTTAATGATCGGATATGGGGATTTGGAAACAAATGAAGTCTAGGATGATGCTCAGGCCTTCCGCTTTACCACTTGGATGGAGCACAGAGAGTAGGTGGACGGGTTTAAAGCAGAAACAAAGTGTTTATTTTAGGAAATGTCAAGTTTTAGCAGCCTATGAGACATCCATGTGGAGAAAGGAGGCAGGTGGTCTCCAGCTGAGGAGAGAGGTCAGAGAGGCAAGTTTCCAGAAAGGAGCAGCCAAATCTCAGAGGCTGCTGAGAAGATTAAGACCCAATTATCCATCCAAAAGCGTATCCATCCACCCAAATATTACTCGGTAATTTATTCATTTTTATTGAGACAGGGTCTTGCTATGCTGCCCAGGCTAGTCTCAAAAGCCCCTAAGTCTCCCAGTGCTGGGATTACAGGTGTGAACCATGTTGCCCTGCATACTCAGTGATCTATCAATCATTTTACTCAATAGTTAATTCACACATACATCCAGTTCCCAAAATGAATTCCATCCATATGCCAAGGTCTCTGAGAACAGGAAGCTGAGCGACCTGAAATCACAGCCCTGGGCAAAAAGAGAGGTGAGTGGTCAAGACAGATACACCCATACCTGTGATGTAGGGCTTGGGAAAGGTGGGCCTCCGGAGGCAGGTGAACAGGAAAAGTGGTTTTCCAGGTGAGGCAGCTGTTAAACTGGACAGAGTGGAAATGGCTCACAGTAGTCCTTTGGAGAGAGGATGAGAATTTGGATGGAGAGAAAAGATTGAATATGTGAGATATGGAGAAACTAGAAGGACGGGCTCTGACTGTGGGGGGGACAGGGAAGCAGGTTGCCTAACTTCTGAGCGCTGTGATTTTGGAGCACTGTCCATGTCCTCGAGGGGATCATAGCCTGAGGGGCTGGCGCACATTTCCACAGTTATCTCCATATGACTGTGCTTAGTGGTGGCCTGTGCTACCGCGTGGGAAAGACACCGACCTGAAATGGGAAATTCTGAAAGGTCAGAAACGGTTGGGGTACGGAAAAGTTTATTTTATGTGAAGTGCCTGCAGGAAATGAAAGGGAGGTGCCCGAGATCCGAGAAGTCTGGTATGCGGAAGCATGAATAGGAGTTACACCAGGGTGCTAAGAGGTGACCTGTGCAGTAAGAGGAAACCACTCGAGTACTCCCGGGCGCGGAACGAGCAAAGGTTGATGATAAGTGGCTTCGCCTGGCATCTTGAACCCTTTCGGCTTCTTCTCTTGCACAGGTCTTCATTCTCACCCTGCTACAAAGCCCTTACCAGAACGTTCTGAAATGCAAACCTAACCTAACAACTGTCTCACCCCAGCAAGGAGTGAGTCAACAGGAAACTCCTCGGGGTCCCAGGCGTCCTCTGCAGGGTTGCGGGCCTCACTCCTCGCGCCCATCCCTGCCCGCCCTGAGCTCGCCCCCAGTGCTGGCCCTGCACATCAGCTATCCCTCCCAGCCTCCAACTTCCCGGTTACTGAAGACCGCAACCAACACGACGACATGACGCAGCAAAAAGCGCCAAACAAATGGACTAAGACGCCAGCTAAGAAGTAGCCGTAGACGCCCGTATTACATGGGGAAACGGCTGCGCAAGCGCGGTAGAGCAGGGGCGTGAGCGGTACTTCCGGTAAGCCGGAGCAGCCAATCCACTCGAAGAGGGTCGGCACCACTTCCGCGGAGGAAAGCCCAGCCAACACCTCCTGGGCCCTCGCCTCTCTGGCGACTTCTCTCGCGGGCCCGCCTCAACGGCAATCCTTGGTGCTGATTGGTTGGCGGCCAGAGCAGTCCTCCTTCAATTGGCTCTCTCATGGCCCCTTGCGGGAGGGCCGCCTAGAGGTCATGGGGTCGTTTCTGGCGGTCTAAGTGGTCCTAACTTAGAGTCCCGAGGGTCGCCGCTGCCGGGGAGATCTCCGTGCCATTTCCTTGCGACCTTGTCCTTAGGGCTCAGAGCCCCCTGCGCTAAGACCCCGGCCCATCTCTGCCCTACACGCGGGAGTCAGCCTAAGGCCGAGCCCTGGGATATCAGCCGCGCCTGGCGCTGCTCACCTCCCTAGCACAGGCAGGAGGTGAACGGAGTCGGCCGCCTCCTTCCCCAGAGCCCTCCAAGGGAGTGAGCTCCACATCCGTGTGCCCGAGGAATCTGCGGAGAAATGGGAAGAACGGGGGACTCCGGGGGCGGGGGTCGAGGCAGGAGTCCAGTAGTCCTCGTGGAGACAGCTGGGAGAGGCCTTGGGGCAAGGAGACCTCGGTGTACCTCCTTTGCCTCAAACAGACAGTCTCAGCCTCTGATGACCACGCAAAGGAAGCAAGGAAAGAGAGTGGTCCACGATCAGCACAGGCAGCAAGGGAAGAGGGTGGTCCACGATCAGCCTTCAGTATACATTTGTGGCATTAATCCCTCCCAGGCCAGGTTGTGAAGAAAGCTCGTTAACCTCAAGATTCAGAAGCACCATTCACAGCTCAAACTTTGGAGTCAAATCCAGGCTGTTAACTTGCCGTGTGCACTTCCGACTTACCCTCTTTCTGCCTGTTTGCTCATCTGTAAAGTGGGAACCACGACTGAGTCTACTTTGAATCTGATTATGCTGCATGTACTCAGAAGACAGGGCTCAGTTGAGTGACTGCTCAGTTTACAAGAGCTATTACTGTAGTTGGGAAGGGCCCTAAGATCGGTAGCCTAGGAGAAAGGTGGCCACCATGAGAGAGACCCCAGAGGGAAACTGTTCCAGAAAAGAGAAATGTCTTGCTTAAGGTCACACTATGCCCTTGTAGCACGAGGGCAGGCACTCCGCCCAAGTTCCCAGATTTCTGAGCTGAGTTCTGGCACATCAGGCTACAGGAGGGTACTAAGCCTCGAGAAAGCAGGCATTCCTAGGAAAGAAGTCCTGTAAGTCCCAAAAGCCACCTTTGCTTTGGAAGGTCTCCAAAAGGAACCTCAGATGCACTTCTCCAGAAGACCCTAGCATTTTTGCCCCCACCCAACAACTTCTGCCTTCTTCAGGGATCCACCATTCCTATTCCTATTGCTATGAGGTGTTACAATCTTTAACAGGTGGAAAGAAAACTTCACCTCAGCCAGGTGGTATTGAGACCCGTCCAAGGCAGGGGACAGGTTGAGGCTTGGGCAGATCTGGGGATTAGAAATCCAGCTCTTTGAGTGTACCCTCTGCAAGCACAACGGTACTCACAATCACTACCTCATCCACGATATGTACCATGCTTTAGCACTGTTGTCTGTGCCGTCTGAGAGGCCCCGAGTGTCTGGCCACACACTCAATCTGCAGCAACACCTTTTACACTGGAAGCTAGGCAAAGTCAGTCCCTAGGTTAATGATCTTATCTTCTTAGGTATTAAACCCAGTACTTACAAATAAATATGAAATGGTGTAGAAAGCTTTTTTTTTTTTTTTTTTTTTAATAAATACAGGGTTTCACCATGTTGGCCAGGCTGGTCTTGAACTCCTGACCTCAGGTGATCTGCCCACTTCGGCCTCCCAAAGTGCTGAGATAACAGGCATGAACCACCATACCCAGCCATAGAAAGCTTTAAAAACTTTGGATATTAAGTGTTGGCTGGCTGGGTGTGGTAGCTCATTCTTGTAATCCCAGCCCTTTGGAAGGCCAAGGCAGGCGGATCACTAGGTCAAGAGATAGAGACCGTCCTGGCCAATGTGGTGAAACTCTGCCTCCACAAAAAATATAAAAATTAGGGCTGGACACGGTGGCTCACTCTTGTAATCTCAGCACTTTGGGAGGCTGAGGCGGGCAGATCACCTAAGGTGGAGTTCAAGACCAACCTGACCACCATGGAGAAATCCCATCTCAACTAAAAGTACAAAAACAGTGACTGGGCATGGTGGTGCATGCCTATAATCCCAGCTACTTGGGAGGCTGAGGAGGGAGAATCTCTTGAACCCGGGAGGCAAGGTTGTGGTGAGCCGAGATTGCGCCATTGTACTCCAGCCTGGGCAATAAGCGAAAGACTCTGTCTCAAAAAAAAAAAAAATTAGACCAGGCAGGGTGGCTCATGCCTGTAATCCCAGCACTTTTGGAGGCCAAGGCAGGCGGATCCAGAGACCATCCTGGCTAACACAGTGAAAACCCATCTCTACTAAAAATACAAAAATCAGCAGGGCATGGTGGCACATGCCTGTTGGTCCAGCTACTCAGGAGGCTGAGGCAGGGGAATCACTTGAACCCATGCGGTGGAGGTTGCAGTGAGCCAAGATCGCACCACCACACTCCAGCCTGAGTGACAAATCGAGACTCTGTCTCAAAAATAAAATAAAAAATAAATAAGCTGGGCATAGTGGCTCGCACTGTAGTCCCAGCTACTCGGGAGGCTGAGGCAGGAGAATTGTTTGAACTGGGAGGCGGAGGTTGCAACAAGCCGAGATCTGACCACTGCATTCCAGCCTGGTGACAGAGCGAGATTCCATCTAAAAAAAAGTGTTGGCTGGGCCAGGCGCAGTGGCTCACACCTGTAATCCCAGCACTTTGACAGGCCGAGGCAGGTGGATCACTTGAGGTCAGGAGTTCAAGACCAGCCTGGCCAACATGGTGAAATCTCATCTCTACTAGAAATACGAAAATTAGCCAGGCGTGCTGGCATGTGCCTGTAATCCCAGCTACTTGGGAGACTGAGGCAGGAGAATTGCTTGAATCTGGGAGGGGGAGGTTGCAGTGAGCCAAGATTGCACCATTGCACTCCAGCCTGGGTGACAGAATGAGACTCCATCTCAAAATAAAATAAAATAAGGTCCGGGCGCAGTGGCTCACGCCTGTAATCCCTGCACATTGGGAGGCCAAGGCAGGTGGATCACGAGGTTAAGAGATGGAGACCACTCTGGTCAACATGGTGAAACCCTGTGTCTACTAAAAATACAAAAAATCAGCTGGGCATGGTGGCACGTGCCTGTAATCCCAGCTACTCAGGAGGCTGAGGCAGGAGAATTGCCTGAACCCAGGAGGCAGAGGTTGCGGTGAGCTGAGATCGCGCCATTGCACTCCAGCCTGGGTAACAAGAGCGAAACTCCGTCTCAAAAATAAATAAATAATAAATAAAGTAAAATAAAATATTGGCTGGGTACGATGGCGCATGCCTGTAGTCCCAGCTACTCGGGAGGCTAAGGTGAGAGAATCACTTGAGCCTGGCAGGTCAAGGTTATAGTGAGTCATGATGGCACCACTGCACACCAGCCTAGGCAGCAGCAAGACCCTGCCTGAAAAAAACAAACAAATGAAAAAGAGCTGGGAGACCCAAACATAAAGTGGGAGAAGATATACCCTGCTGCAGTAACACCACCCTCAGAGAAACCACCATGGCAGGGCAGCTGGCTCAGGACATCAAGTCCTCAAAACAACGTTCTCACTAATCTCCTTTTATAAATGAAGAAACAGAGACCCAAGGAGGTGGAACCCTTCTCCAGTGTCATGTGGCTTGGGAGATGGGCCCCAAGTTTCAACTCTGCTCAGCTACTGCAGAGCCACTACATTCTGTTTCCTGCATGGAGAGTGGCTGGGGAACACGTGCCCAGAGACCTGCAGAGAGAGAGTGGGAGGCAGAGGCCAGGAAACAGGGTCAAGCAGGCCAAGATCTGCCTTCCAGGGGACCATGGCATCCAGAGAGGCCACACCATAAAAAGCGCAGTGAGGCAGCTGCCCTAGTCAGTGAGAGTGTCGTCATCTAGCCACCAGGCTGGCGTCCTAACCTTACCATCCACCCATATGTGACATGGAGCAAGTCACTCAACCTTTCTCTTTCTCAGTTTTCTCACTCTTAAAGTTGGGATTGTGAAAATAAATAAAATTTCAAAGCTGAAATAAAATTTACAACCCCTAAAACACTTTAAGCTTTAAGAGAGGTGTGACTATGATCTGAATCATGTAATGTTTCACGAGTCTCCTTCTTAAATTATTACTTAGCTTCTTTCTTAGTGAGCTTGTTTTATAAATGACAAAAAACAAGAGACTATATACATCCCCCTCCAATCACTAATCTTTGTTATAAATTGACTGCTGGCCAGGCGCAGCGGGTCATGCCTGTAATGCTAGCACTTTGGGAGGCCGAGGTGGGTGGATCACCTGAGGTCAGGAATTCAAGACCAGCCTGGCCATCATGGTGAAACCCCATCTTTTTATATATATATATATATATGAAAAATAAAATAAATAAATTGATTGCTTTGGCTGGGTGCAGTGGCTCATCCCTGTAATTCCAGCATTTTGGGAGTCTGAGGAAGGAGGATTACTTGGGCCCAGAAGTTTGAGACCAGCCTGGGCAACAGAGTGAGACCCTGTCTCTACAAAAAAATAATTAGCTGGGCACAGCAACTCTCGCCTATCATCCCAGCACTTTGGGAGGCTGAGGCAGGTGGATCAGCTGAAGTCAGAAGTTCAAGACCAGCCCAACCAACTTGTTGAAATCCCATCTCTACTAAAAATACAAAATTAGCTAGGCGTGGTGGTGTGCGCCTGAATCCCAGCTACTTGGGAAGCTGAGGCAGGAGAATCACTTGAACCTGGGAGGCAGAGGTTGCAGTGAGCTGAGATTGTGCCACTGCACACCAGCCTGGGCAAGTAGAGTGAAAAACTCTGTCTCAAAAATAAAAATAATAATAATAATACATTAAGTGCTTCTTTTATTATCCTGAACCTAACTCAGACCAGATGACAACCGAACATGGATCTTATGACAATGACATCTTCAGTGTAAAATGTTAAACAGTGCTTGCTTCTCCAGCACATATATTAAAACCAAAACAATTCAGAGATTAGCATGGCCCCTGCACAAGGATGACATGCAAATTTGTGAAGGAGTCCACACACACACACACACACACACACACACACACAGGGTTTCACTCTATCACTCACGTTGGAGTGCAGTGGCAAGACCTCAGCTCATTGCAGCCTCTGCCTCCCAGGCTTAAACGATCCTCCTGCCTCACCCTCCCGAGTAGTTGGGCCCACAGGTGTGCACCACCAGGCCTGGCTACTTTCTATTTTTGGTAGAGATAGGGTTTCACCATGTTGCCCAGGCTGATTCCATATTTTTTAATTAAAAAATGAATAAATTGGCTGGGGTCAGTGGCTCACCACTATAATCCCAGCACTTTGGGAGGCCAAGGCAAGAGGATCACTTGAGACCAAGAGTTCAAGATCAGCCTAGGCAACATAGGGAGACCCAGCCTTCATTTTACATATCAATATTTAAATTTTAAATAAATAAAGTGTTAAATAGACCTCTCCCCTAAAGAAAAAGTACTTCAACTAATCAGATCTCTTTTTTTTTTTTTGAGACATAGTTTAGCTCTTGTTGCCCAGGCTGCAGTGCAATGATGCAATCTCCGCTCACCGAAACCACCTTCAGGGTTCAAGCGATTCTCCTGCCTCAGCCTCCCAAGTAGCTGGGATTATAGGCATGCGCCACCATGCCCGGCTAATTTTGTATTTTTAACAGAGATGGGGTTTCTCCATGTTGGTCAGGCTAGTCTTGAACTCCTGACCTCAGGTGATCTGCCCACCTCAACCTCCCAAAGTCCTGGAATTACCGGCGTGAGCCACCATGCCTGGCCCAGATCATTATAACTATACATTAAACTTTACATTTTAAAAAGTTAAAATTCAGCCAGATGCAGTGGGTGGCTCATGCCTATAATCCCAACACTTTAGGCAGCCAAGGTGCATAAATCACTAGAGCCTAGAAGTTCTAGATCAGACTGGGCAACATGGCAAAACTCTGTCTCTACCAAAAAAAAAAAAATACAAAAATTAGCCTGGCATGGTGGCATGCACCTGTAATCCCAGCTATTCAGGAGGCTGAGGCAGGAGAATTGCTTGTGCCCAGAAGGTTGAGGTTGCAGTGAGCCATGACTGTGCCACTGCACTCCAGCCTGGGCAATAGAGGGAGACCCTGTCTCAAAAAAGATTAAAAAACAGTTAAAATTCTATTAATCTTTCCTAAACTTTGTCTATATAAACAATCCCAGGCTGGGCACTGTGGCTCATACCCACAATCCCAGCACTTTAAAAGTCCAAGCAGGTGGATAACTTGAGGTCAGCAGTTTGAGACTAGCCTGGCCAACATCGTGAAACCCTGTCTCTACTAAAAATACAACTAATTAGCTGGGCATGGAGGCTTGGGCCTGTAATCTCAGCTACTTGGGAGGCTGAGGCATGAGAATCACTTGAACCTGAAAGGTAGAGGTTGTAGTGAGCAGAGATCATGCCATTGCACTCTAGCCTGGGTGACAGAATGAGACTGTGTCTCAAAAAAATAAAAATAAAATAAACAATCCCAAATTTCTACATTTTACTTATTTATTGTGAGACAGGGTCTCCCTCTGTCACCCAGGCTGAAGTGCAGTGGCTCAGTCTGGGCTCACTGCAGCCTTGACCTCCCATACTCAAGTGATCCTCCCACCTCCACTGGACTAAAGATGTGCACCACCACGTCAGGCTATTTGTTCTATTTTTTTTTTTTTTTGGTAGAGATGGAGTTTCATTGTGTTGCCCAGGCTGGTCTCAAACTCCTGGGCTCAAGTGATCCACCCACCCTGGCCTCCCAGAATGCCAGGATTGCAGGTGGGAACCCCACACCCGGCCAAGACCTTAAAACTCTGACTTCCATTCTTTACAATCCATACTTCCTGAACAGGCTGTCCTTAACCTTTACACTTAATAAACTCCTTTAAAACAAAATCTGACCTGTTTGATTATTGTAGATTGACAAGCTGAGAGTATGTACCTCCAAGGATCTCTGTGAGGGCTAAGTGCAGTCATATATGCAATGAGCTCAGGTAAACAGCAGGCAGAGGAAACACCTGGACATCTCTGTGCTAAGCCCCCAGCATGCACACAGACACAGCCACGGCCTGCCCAGGCCCCAAGAGGCTGCCTGAACTTCAGTGTGATTCTCCTTCTGAACAGGCGTGGGAGATATCAAAGGCGAGTCAAATGCAGAGTGTCTCTCTGGCCTTCCCCTGACCAGAAGTGCTCTCCCTGATAACTCTGCTACTGGTGGCTCAGGAGAGTCCCTGCATACAGGAGCGCTGACTTTTTTTTTTGAGACGGAGTTTCACTCCTGTTGCCCAGGCTGGAGTGCAATTGTGCGATCTCGGCTCACCGCAACCTCCGCCTCCCAGGTTCAAGCAATTCTCCTGCCTCAGTCTCCTGAGTAGGTGGGATTACAGGCATGTGCCACCATACCCGGCTAATTTTGTATTTTTAGTAGAGACAGGGTTTCTTCATGTTGGTCAGGCTGGTCTCGAACTCCTGACCTCAGGTGATCTGCCTGCCTCGGCCTCCCAAAGTGCTGGGATTATAGGCATGAGCCACTGTATCCAGCCGTTTTTCTTTCTTTTTTTTTTTTTTTGAGACAGAGTCATGCTCTATCATCCAGGCTGGAGTGCAGTGGCACAGTCTGGGCTCACTGCAACCTCTACCTCCCAGGTTCAAGCGATTCTCCTGCCTCAGTCTGGGGTGCTGAGACTACAGGCACCCATCATCATGCCCAGCTAATTTTTGTATTTTTAGTGGAGACCAGGTTTCACCATGTTGGCTAGGCTGGTGTTGACCTCCTGACCTCAGGTGACCTGCCCACCTCAGACTCCCAAAGTGCAGGGATTATAGGCGTCAGCCACCCCGCCTGGCAAATATTTTATATTTTAACACAAGTGACTGCTTTATATTTTTTTCCATTTAAAAGTATGTCTGGGGCAGCTTGGTGGGGGCCCTGCGCCCACATGCTGCCAGTAAAAAGAAAAAAAAAAGAAAAGTATGTCTGGGCCGGACACAGTGGCTCGTGCCTATGATGTATATACATACATATATGTATATTATATGTACATATGTATATATACACATACATGTGTACATATATGTGTATATATATGTATATTCATGATGCTTGAGAGGCTTGGGAGATATTTTCAAGTCAGTACACAGAGTTGTCTCAAAAAGGGGGCCACACTCTCCAGCCCCCCACCTCCCCTTGTGTAGGCTCAGGCAAGAGATCAAGGACAGTGCCCCTCTCTCTGTTTGCCACCAACCAGCCTGCTCAGGAGAGGCCCTGACAGGCCATGCCCTGCTGGGAGGCTTCCCATGGAGACAGAGGACTCCATGTCTCTGGGAGAGAGATGCTTTCTACCCAGCCCAAAGTTCCCTCAGCCATTTAGTCCCCAAGGACCCCTCACCAAACCCAATTCTCTGTTCTCACCTTGACCACCCTCAGTGCTGTGCCCCAGCCCTAACCTTCCATTACTAATGAAACCAACTCCCCTTTCCACCTGAACATAGTGGGCCTGCCAGCTTGCTTGATTATGTGCAGAGGGTTTTATCGATCAGCTGGTGAAATCAAAGGAAAGTAGGCCCCTGACTCCTCCTCCCTCTCATGCTCCTTGCAGAGAGTGTGCTGGCTCCTGCCCTGCCACACCCTCCACTCCCTGCCAGCCACAGGCACAGCTCCTGCTCCTCCTGCCCTTTCCATCTGTCTAAACCTCTAAACCGACAGGGCACAGTGGTACATGCCTGTAATCCCAGCACTTTGGGAGGCGGAGGAGAATGGATCACCTGAGGTAAGGAGTTCAAGACCAGTCTGGCCAACATAGTGAAATACTGCCTCTACTAAAAATACAAAAATTAGCTGGGCACAGCAGTGTGGGTTTGCATCTGTAATCCCAGCTACTCGGGAGGCTGAGACAGAATTGCTTGAACCTGGGAGGCAGAGGTTACAATGAGCTGAGATTGTGCCACTGCACTCCAGCTTGGGCAACACAGCGAGACTCTGTCTCAAAAATAAATAAATAAATAGACAAACCATCTAAACTGCCATTGCCCTCCCTAACCCTCCAAGTCTAGAGACCCCCCCATCCCTTGTCAGCCATCCCCCCTTACCTTCTGGACAGGGACAAGTGTCTCTTATTTGGAAAAGAATTAGGGAGGGGGAACAGTAGAATAGGGAGGCCTGGGGTCCTCCACATGCCTGTGTGGGTGAGTTTCGGCCCCAGCATCAAGGCAGGCCCGTGGTCCACAGAGAGAGACAGCCACTCCTCAGCTTGGGGTGGCTATCCTCCTCCTGACCCCATCTCTCTGCTGTTGGGGAGGTTAGGTGGGTGTCAGGGCCCTGTCAGAGGGTGAACCACCCCCAGGGGTGCCCATCAGCCACCAGCCCCCCCTCAGTGGACACCCAGTCCAACTGACAGCTGTGGCACAGCTGAGCACAGGGAGACTCATGGCCAGTGCCTGACTCCTGGTCTCCTCCAAGGTCCCCAGGACACCCCACACAGACATCCCAGCACTGCTGCAGCTGGCATAAGAGCCTAGAAACATCCTGTCCAGCACCCTCTGGGCCCCTCTTTTAGGATCTGGGTGAGCTAAAGAAGCCGAAAAAGGGTTTGCAGCCAGGCCTGCCCCTCCCCCACAGCCCTGGGTGTGTCAGGCCAGTCAGCCTGAGTTTCAGGAAGCCTGAGCAGTTCCCTCCCAAATAGCTGGGATTACAGGCACCTGCCACCACGCCTGACTAATTTTTCCCTGGGCGGGGCTGTGGGGTTTAAAGAACCAACCTACCTGCCTGGGCCGTCCACAGCCCAGCAGCGTCCTCAGACCTGTTCTCTGCACCGCCAGCTCAGGTGAGCCCTCACTCAGGTGACCTTGAAGGTGAGCAGGCATCCACGTCGGGGCTGCTAGGTGAAGGGGGTGGCTGCCCAAGAATTTAATAAGGAGCCTGTTGAGGGGTCTGAGGACAGATATGGCTGCAGGTGTCACGTGGAGGCCTCCTGTGTTGCACCCACTGTCATATGGACGGTGGGTTGGGGACTGAAGGAAATAGGAGCCAGCCCTTGGCTAAAGAATATGTGAACTGGTAGTTTGTGCCTGTGGTCCCAACTGCTTGAGAGACTCAGTTGAGGAGATCCCCTGAGCCATGAGAGTTCAAGGCTACAGTGAGCCGAGATCACACTACTGCTCTACATCCTGGGTAACAGAGCAAGACCCTATCTCAGAAAAAAAAAAAAAAAAAGAATATGTGACCTAGAGTTGAGACCCTCCTATTCCAGGAACTCCAGGTTGGTGGAGGTAGCACCAATGAAGGCTGGTGGAAGCCAGCTTTGGAAACTGCTCCTAACCCAAGAACCCATGTTCAGAAGCAGTGTCAGTCTCTCCCTCCAGTGCCTCCCTCCTGCTGCAGAAGGACCGTGTGTTTACTTATGGATGTATTTATTTTGTATTATTTATTTACTTATTTATTTTTTGAGATGGAGTCTTACTCTGTTGCCTAGGCTAGAGTGCAGTGGCAAGATCTCAGCTCACTGCAACTCTGCCTTCTGGATTCAAGCAAATCTCCTGCCTCAGCCTCCGGAATAGCTGCTATTGCAGGCACCTGCCACCAGGACTGGCTAATTTTTGTATTTTTAGTAGAGATGGGGTTTCACCCTGTTGGCCGAGCTGATCTCGAACTCCTCACCTCAGGTGATCCACTCATCTCAGCCTTCCAAAGTGCTGAGATTATAGGCGTGAGCCACCACGACCAGCCTGTAGATTTATGTATTGTAACAGGTTTTTAGTGCTGTGTGCTAGGCATTGTTCTTAAGCTTGACAAATAGTAATTCACATAATTCCATCAACATAACCTTATGAGGTTGCTATACTCTGATTATCCCCCTTTTACAGGACTCTGGCAAAGGAGCGGTGAGGAGCCTGCAGAGTCACACAGTCGGTAAGTGGCTGAGAAGGGACCCAGCCCAGACAGCTGGCCCTGGATCTGTGATCTCATCAGGAGGCCAGAGCTGGGTGCAGCAGACGATGACAATGGCTTCAGTATTGAACATTTGACCATTCTAGGCTAACAATATGTGGAGGGCTGGGAGGGGGCCTGTGCTCAAAGACTCAGCCTCCCCAAGGACAAGTAAGTGTGGTCCTGGGTACCTCCAACTTGAGGGAGAAATGTCACACCACCGGGAGGTCTATACTCTGAGAGCAGAATCTGGGGCTGCTGGAGCAGGGTCCCCAGCCAGGGCTGGCAGGGGAGGTCCTGACTGCTGCAGTCGCCTTATCCCAGGACTCAGTGCTCGCTCCCTCCTCTGCACCCTTGCTTTTGTGGAGGCTCTCTGGGAATTCAGCCTGAGGGTGCTGGACTCCCACCACCTCAGACCCAGACCTTTAGTAACAATATCCTAGGGCCTGATAACAATGCCCTTTGTGTGGGGTTAGGAAGGCAGGCTCCAGACCCTGACTTAGAATAGCAGCTGCCTGACCCTGGGCATCTGATTTCACCTCTCTAAGCTCCATTCTTTTTTTTCTCCTTAGAAATAGAGACAACAATCATATCTTCCTTATGGGGAGGAGTGGGGGGTGGGTTTATCGTATGGATTTTCACGATGCCTTCTACAGCACTTACTTAGTGCAGGCCCTCTTCTGAGCTCTTAGCTCATGTTTACTCAATCACACAACTCCCCCAGGCAACCACTATCCTCTCTAGATGGGAAGACAGAAAGTAGTCATTTGCCCAAGATCGCCCCACAAGCGACAGCATCTGTGGGTTTTGTGTACCTACTCTCACCATGGGGCTCTGCCCCCACCCCCTCTAGCTGGCCAAGTGAGCTGTGAGCCTGGAGCAGATCCACCAGCTGCAGACCCGAGCCCCAGTGCCTCTCCCCCTGCAGCCCTGCCCCCTCAAACTGTGACATGGAGAGAGTGACCCTGGCCTTTCTCCTACTGGCAGGTAAGTTCTCCCAGTCTCTCAGGACCCTCCTGCATTCACCCCACCCACTCTGGCAGCAAAAGCCAGAGAACATCTCCCAAAGGGGACCAGCATGCTTTATTTATATTGCCACTTTAGAGAAAAATGTAAAGGAAATGACAGTACAGGTAGAATGAGAATATTGCAAAAAGGTCTTAATTGCTCCAGAGGAATTGAACTGTGGAAAACATTAATCACCAGTGGCTTGAAGACAAAAGCAGCTGACTCAGGCCTATAATCCCAGCACTCTGGGAGGCCAAGGTGGGAGGATCACTTGAGCCTGGAAGGTTGAGGCTGCAGTGAGCTAGGATTGCACCACCGCATTCCGGCCTGGGTGACAGAGATTCCAACTGAAAAAAAAAAAAAAAAAAGACAAAAGCACTCCCTGTTCTTCAGCGGGCAGAGACATAGCAAGTCATCCCAGTCAGTGTGCAAATCTGGAAGGCAGGGCTCTGGGCAGGCAGGGCTCTGGGTGGGGGGCCAAACCCTGAGACTGTGTAGGGCTGGGGAGGACGTGAGGAAGGGAACTGGTGGCTCCAGGCTCACTCCACAACCTCGGGTCTGGGGTCCTGCTGCCCAGCTCACTTGGAGACCAGAGTAATGAATTTCTACCCTTTTTCTCTGCTCCTCCCATACAGGCCTGCCTGCCTTGGAAGCCAATGACCCGTTTGGTGAGTGAGGCCCCCAGTCAGCATACCCACTCTGCCCACATCTCCCCTCTGACACCCACATCCTGTCTCCTGGTTCTGAAATCTTCCCCATCCCTTTTTCCAGCCAGTAAAGAAGATCCCTTCTACTATGGTAAGAGCTGATATTCACACCCCCACCCTACCCTTGCCTATCCTGGACCTCTTTGCCAGACAAGTTGGTGAGGGGTGGTGTGAACCCAGTGTAGACAAAGTGGGATGGGGGATGAAACCTGTCTCCAGCAAGGGGAGGGTGCCCACAGGATGCTTAGGGACAGTCCTGGAGAAGGGCTGGTGCCTGGGCAACTAGGACCCAGATACTTCACCCCTACCCTCCTGCCTTCACTCACCCTCACCCTCCCCTTCCCCAGTCCCTATCTCCCAGATGGTCCTCCTCTCCTCCTCTCCCCTGGGCCTCAGCTCCAAGGGTCATCTTCCAGCACAGCTTCCCTTGATCATCCTTCAAAGCCCCTTCTTTGTGCACATCCACTTTTTTCTTCTTAGTGTTTCCCCACCAGACACAGAATGATGCCTCTGTTGCTTATTTGTCTTTCTTTTTTAAGATGGGGTTTCACCATAATGGCCAGGCTGGTCTTGAACTCCTCACCTCAGGTGATCCACCCACCTCAGCCTCCCAAAGTGCTAGGATTACAGGTGTGAGCCACCATGCCCGGCCTTGTTTATCTTTCTTTATGTATATGGCAGTGGCTGGCCCAAGCAGGAGCTCACAGATGTCTTTTTTTTTTTTTTCTGTTGCCCAGTCTGGAGTGCAGTGGTGAGATCTGAGTTCACTACAACCTCCAACTCCCAGGTTCAAGCGATTCTCCTGCCTCAGACTCCTGAGTAGCTGGGACTACAGGCACACACCACCATGCCCAGCTAATTTTGTGTATCTTTAGTAGAGATGGGATTTCACCGTGTTAGCCAGGATGGTCTCGATCTCCTGACCTCGTGATCCGTCTACCTCTGCCTCCCAAAGTGCTGGGATTACAGGTGTGAGCCACCACATCCACGTCTGGCCTTTTTTTCTTTTTTTTGAGATGGAGTTTCACTCTTGTTACCCAGACTGAAGTGCAATGGCACAATCTCAGCTCTCCGCAACCTCCGCCTCCTGGGTTCAAGCAATTCTCCTGCCTCAGCCTCCCGAGTAGGTGGGACTACAGGCATGCACCACCATGCCCAGCTAATTTTTGTATTTTTAGTAGAGACGGGGTTTCACCTTGTTGACCAGGATGGTCTCGATCTCTTGACCTCGTGATCCACCCGCCTCAGCCTCCCAAAGTGCTGGGATTATAGGCATGAGCCACTGCACCCGGTCTTTTTTTTGAGACAGAGCCTTGATCTTTCTCCCAGACTGGAGTGCAATGCCTCCATCTCGGCTCACTGCAACCTCCACCTCCCAGGTTCAAGTGATTACAGGTGTCCGCCACCACGCTGGTCTAATTTTTGTATTTTTAGTAGAGATGGGGGCCGTGTTGGCCAGGCTGGTCTCAAACTCCTGACCTCAGGTTATCCACCCACCTTGGCCTCCCAAAATGCTAGGATTACAGTGGTTTGCCACCACTGTATGTCTTTTGAATGAATGAGTGAGACCCCAGGCTGGAGCAAGCTCACTTTCTGTGCCCCACCACCCCCAGACTGGAAAAACCTGCAGCTGAGCGGGCTGATCTGCGGAGGGCTCCTGGCCATTGCTGGGATTGCGGTGGTTCTGAGTGAGTGTCAGGACAGGTGGGGCTGTTGGGGCAGGGTGGGGCAGGAAGAGGGAGTGCTCTGATTCCAGCACTGACCCCTCTCTCCCTCCCAGGTAGCAAATGCAAATGCAAGAGCAGCCAGAAGTGTGGGTGAGCTGAGCCCAGTGGTACACCCCTCCTTCGGGGCAGACCCATGGGGGACAGTCCTGACCTGGAGAGTGGACGGCATCCTGGCCACTCACTGGGTTTGCAGCCAGTTTTGTTATTCACATAGTCAACCCTGAAGGGCCCCTGTCAGGGAAAGCTGTGACCTCAGTATTGTGTGAAGTGACCCTGGAAGGAGAGCAAGGAGGTGTACTCCTGGGGTGGGGCGGCAAGAGTCTGGGGTGTAGGGAGAAGGTCCTCCAGGCTAACCTGATACTTCTCTCATGTGGTCCTTTCGCTAGTCCTGTACCTGAGAAGGCCACCCTACTCATCACTCCAGGTAGGATGGGCTTCTGCGGGGCTGAGGGGGTGTCTGTGTAGGGACTGTGTCTGATGGCCTGCCTGCCACTCTCTGCAGGCTCTGCCACTACCTGCTGAGCACAGGACTGGCTTCCAGGGATGGCCTGAAGCCCAACACTGGTCCCCACTGCCTCCTCCCCTGGGAGGCCTTATCCTCCAGGAAGGACGTCTCTGCAAGGGCACGCTGTTAGGCGTCTTTCTGATCAGGAGGCTTCTTTATGAATTAAACTCGTCCCACATCCCCTCTTCTGTAGTCTTGTGATCATCTTTGCCTCTGGGGTCAGGGTAATCCCTTAGATTGCTGACTCTCCCTGGAGGCCCACTCCCAACAAGCTTCCCAATCACTGAGTCCCTGCCACCCAGTGGTCTCCTATGACGCCCACTCCAGCAAGCCCCGTGTACCATGAGACACCACAATGTTATAACAAAAGACCTTTCCATCACAGGAGCCCTTATAAGTCCTGGTACCCCAGGTACCCATGACTTCCTTTAACCTAGAGTGACCCCCCCAGGCTTGCCCCACATTCAGACCTCATCTCACCCAGTGAATGCTCTCTCCGGTGAGTGCTCTCTATGGTAGGAAATGTAGCAATTCCTTCAACCCATCCCAGTGAAACCCTCACACCGCATGGGCCCCCTTCTCCCAGGAAACATCCTGTGAAACTCCATGCTGGGATCAGAGGTTGGTGCAGGGCCCCAGAGGTGCAAACATGAGGTCCACATGTCTGCCAGGGCCTTTGAAACAGGACACATAGGGACTGAGATCAAGGTTACAAGCTGGGGCTGAGTGGTACTCAGGATACCTGGCTGAGTCCAGCCACTATCAGGGAATCTTGGGCGGGTCACAGAAGGCAAGCCCCAGTGCTTTGGGGAAGCTGCCCTGTACAGGCAGCCCAGGGGGTATGGCCAGGCCAGAGGTGGCACTGAGTCTGCACAGGTGGCCCCAGGGAGGGGCTGTACAGAAGCCACCCTGGTGGAGGGAGCCAGCAGCACGACTGGAATGCAGGTGATAACATCACCGAGGAAGCAAGGCGAGCCCTGCAGGGACGCAGATGCAGCGGTGGGAGCCACCCAGCAGGGCTGGCGGAAGGGGGCTCCTGAGCATGCCACCTCATCCAGGGGGTACGGAGCAGAGTCCTCTCCTTGTTGGCACAGGAAGATGTTGGTGTGAGGGACTGCTTTTGAAAACATGAAAAGTAAGCTAAGAAAGCCGAGTCTGGAGTGGCAGACCCGGGGAAGCTACACAAAGGTGAGCGGAAGCAGTGCATGCTTTCTGACTGAGGAATCCAGGGCTGTGCAGTCATGACTATCAGGAGCTCTGCTGTTTGAAATCCTAGCAAACCCTGACCTTTCATGGTGGTCCCATGACCCCAACAAGAGATGCAGCCTCCAACCCCACTGCCCTGCTGGGGAGCAGAGGTTTCTGGACGAGACATCCACCCACCTCCACCTTCACATGTCATGTCCTGGGGCCACATCGTGGTAGAGACCTGTTGCCCAGGCTAGTCTTGAACTCCTGAGCTCAAGCCATCTGCTCACCTCAGACTCACAAAGTGCTAGGTAGGAATACAGGTGTGAACCATGGCACCACGCTCTCTCTTTTTATTTCTATATATTTTTTACTTTCTTCTTTTTAAATTTTTTATTTTTTTTTTTTTTTTTTTTTTTTTTTGAGATGAAGTCTCACTCTGTTGCCCAGGCTGGAGTGCAGTGGCACGATCTTGGCTCACTGCAACCTCCTTCTCCCAGGTTCAGGCAATTCTCCTGCCTCAGCCTCCTGAGTAGCTGGGATTACAGGCATGTGCCACCATGCCCAGCTAATTTTTGTATTTTTAGTAGAGATGAGGTTTCACCACGTTGGTCAGGCTGGTCTCGAACTCCTGACCTCATCATCCACCCGCCTCAGCCTCCCAAAGTGCTGGGATTACATGCATGAGCCATCACGAGCAGCCAAATTTTTTTATTTTTTAAAACTGAGTCTCCCTCTCTCACCAAGGCTGGAGTGCAGTGGCATGATTATAGCTCATGGCAGCCTCAACCTGCCAGGCTCAAGCAATCTTTCCACCTCAGCTGCCAGAGTAGCTAGGACCACAGGTGCATGTCACCATGCCCAGCTATTTTTTTTGATGTAGAGATGGGCTCTCACTGTGTTGCCTAGGCTGGTCTGGAACCCCTGGGTTCAAGCGATCCTCCCACCTCAGCCTCCCAAAGTGCTAGGACTATAGGCGTGAACCACTGCACCTGGCCTGCCTCTTTTTTCTCAACTAAAACAAAACAAAACAACAAGAAAAGAACTTTACACTTAAAATAATTGTAGATTCACACGCAATTATAAAAAACATTATAAGCTTTATCAGTGAAGAAATAAAAAACAATACAGAGAGGTAAGCCAGTTTCCCCCGATGGCAAATCGTTGCATAACTATAGCACACTATATCTCAACAGAATATCGAAACTGTGGCGAAACCCCGTCTCTACTAGAAGTACAAAAAAATGGGCCAGGAATGGTGGCACACGCCTGTAATCCCAGCTACTCAGGAGGCTGAGGCAGGAGAATCACTTGTACCCAGGAGGCAGAGGTTGTGGTGAACCGAGATTGCACCACTGCACTTCAGCCTGGGTGACAGAACGAGACACTTTCCAAAAAAATATATTGAAACTGATAGAAACATCGAACTCACTAAGATTTCACCAGTGTTACATCACTCATTTGTATGTGTATGTTTAGTTCTGTGCAACTTTATCACCTGTAATTCCTGTGACCACCACAGTCAAGATCTAGAACGGTTCATCACAAGGAATCCTCATGCTCCTCTTTCATAACCACACCCATTTCCCTCTCTACTTAGGCCCCTGGGACTAACCTCTGGCAAACACGAAACTGTCCTCTATCTCTAATTTTTGTTATTTCAAGAATGTTAAAACCTGTAATCCCAGTAATTTGGGAAGCTGAGGCGGGTGGATCACCTGAGGTTAGGAGTTCAAGACCAGCCTGACCAAAATGGTGAAACCCTGTCTCTACTAAAGATACAAAATTAGTCAGGCATGTTGGCAGGCCCCTGTAATCCCAGCTATTTAGGAGGCTGAGGCAGGTGAATCGCATAAACCCGGGAGGGGGAGGTGCAGTGAGCTGAGATCCCACCACTGCACTCCAGCCTGGGCAATAGAGTAAGACTCCATCTCAAAAAACAAGAAAATAAAGAATGTTAGGCTGGGTATGGTGGCACATACCTGTAGTTCCAGCTACTTAGGATAAGGAAAATGGGTCACTTGAGAGTTGCAGTGACCTGTGATTGTAATCATGAATCATGCCTGGGTGACAGAGCAACACCTGGTCTAAAAAAAAAAAAAAAAAAAAAGAGCTATGATCTCACCACTGCTCTTTAGCATGGGCAACAGAGTAAGATTCTGTCTTTTTTTTTTTTTGAGACACAGTTTCACTCTTGTTGCCCAGGCTAGAGTGCAATAGCTGGATCTCAGTTCACTGCAACTTTCGCCTCCCAGGTTAAAGCAGTTCTCCTGCCTCAGTCTCCTGAGTAGCTGGGATTACAGGAACCCACCACTGCACCTGGCTAATTTTTTGTATTTTTAGTAGAGACAGGGTTTCACCTAGTCTTGAACTGCTGACCTCAGGTGATCTGCCCACCCTGACCTCAGCCTCCCAAAGTGCTGGAATTATAGGTGAGAGTTACCACGCCAGGCATTTTTTTTTTTTTTAAGACAGAGTCTCACTCTGTCACCCAAGCTGGAGTACAGTGGCATAATCTCAGCTCACTGCAACCTCTGCCTCCTGGGTTCAAGCGATGTGCCTGCCTCAGCCTCCTGAGTAGCTGGGATTACAGACACCCACCACCATGCCTGGCTAATTTTTGTATTTTTAGTAGAGACAGGGTTCCACCATGTTGGCCAGAATGGTCTCAATCTCTTGACTTTGTGATCTACCACCCTTGGCCTCCCAAAGTGCCGGGATTACAGGCATGAGCCACCTCAACCAGCCCATTTCTGTCTTTTTAAAAAAACAAAAACTAGGCCGAGTGCAGTGGCTCATTCCTGTAATCCCAGCACTATGGGAGGCCAAGGCAGGTGGATCACGAGGTCAGGAGTTTGACAGCAGCTTGGCCAATATGGTGTAACTCCGTCTCTACCAAAAATACAAATTAGCTGGGCATGGTGGCACACGCCTGTAGTCCCAGCTGCTCAGGCTAAGGCAGAAGAATCCCTTGAACCTGGGAGATGGAGGTTACAGTGAGCTGAGATCGAGCCACTGCACTCCAAAGCGAGACTCCATCTCAACCAAAAACTAATAAAACTGAGATGCCTTGAGACTTGATGCATCTGCCCACACCCAGATGATGAGGGTGATTTTAGCACAGGTGACTTATCTCCCATACTGTTAAGTATTCAGAAGCTGCTTCTTGAAAGGTAACTACGCCAGACATGGTGGCTCATGCCTATAACCCCAGTACTTTGGGAGGCCGAGGTGGGTGAATCACCTGAGGTCAGGAGTTGGGAGACCCACCTGGCCAACATGGTGAAACCCCATCTCTACTAAACATATGAAATTAGCCAGGCATGGTGGTTGGCGACTGTAATCCCAGCTACTTGGAAGGATGAGGCAGGGGAATTGCTTGAACATAGGAGGCAGAGATTACACTGAGCCCAGATGGTGCCACTGCACTGTAGTCTGGGCAACAGAATGAGACTCCATCTCAAAAAAAAAAAAAAAAAAAAAAAAAGAGGTAACTAGCCCTCTCCTGTAGAAAACGTGGCCTTGACTCAGAACACTCAGGGTTTGGGCTATGAGCATTTATTGAGACTTGTCAGAGGCGCCACATGAAATCTCTGAGGAACACAGGTACCTTTTTGATGGGGCCTGTGCTGTCATTTGTAGCAGATGGCAGAGCAGCTGGTGGAGCCCTTGCAGTCTTCTGGTCACCTGGTAATTAGCAGGAGTAGTCGTTTTGTTTTTTTTTTTATCGAGACAGGGTCTCACTGTCACCCATGCTGAGGTGTAGTGGTAATAGTATTGGCTCACTGCAACTTCTGCCTCCTGGGCTCAGGTGATCCTCCCACCTCAGCCTCCTAAGTAGCTGGACTATACGTGTGGAGCCACCATGCCCCACACATTTTTTTTTTTTTTTTTGAGACGGAGTTTTGCTTTTGTTACCCAGGCTGGAGTGCAATGGCATGATCTCGGCTCACCGCAACCTCCGCCTCCTGGGTTCAGGCAATTCTCCTGCCTCAGCCTCCTGAGTAGCTGGGATTACAGGCACACGC